TGTTTGTCAAGTCCATGTGCAAAATGAATGTGAATGGGAATGATCTTATATTTATTGACCAGCTGCTGCACCTTCATGTGTATAGGGAATCAGACCCAACCACCTTCCTTATTAGAACCCTGTAGCTGCAGCAACTGATCAATATATTTAAGATCACTCTCATTCACATTCATTTTGCACATGGACTTGACAAACAGCTATTTCTTCGTCCTACCAAAAGGTAGGAATCTGCAACAAAGTTTTTTAAAATTCTTGCAATGTACACTGATCACTCAAAGGAAAAAAGATTTGCAAATCAGTGATTAAAAAATTACATTTCTTTTACAAGAGATTTTTTGCATAATTGAAAATGACAGCAAATACATCCGCCTAAAACCAACATCTCAAAATTCATGAAATATCACCAGGAATTATGAACATTTTACTGTTAATCACTCAATTGACAAGGTTTTTCTGAATATATTTGGAGAACAGATAGCATTAACAAAAGTTAGTAAAGGTCCATTTAGTTAAAACATTAATAATTCTATATTTACATTTCAAACCTAGAAGTCAAGCAGTGGCCACAGATATCCCTCACAGATTTTCCCAAACTATGTAATGAGAACTAGGGTCTGGTAGACAAAGGCATTCCAGCCAAACTTCTGTACTATGTTGCCCACGTAGCATTAAAACCAGAGCCAGATTCATGGGATGAGATGCACAGACTTCCAAATCATGATAAACAAAACTGGGTCAGAGCTGCTGATGAAGAAATTGACAAAACAGCTTACAAGAAACAGATTTATAGAATTGTGATCCAATATGGGACTAACATAATGAGTAGCTGTTGAGTGGAGGTGTTGGAATACAGTGCTTATGTATTTTGTGCAATAACTGCATCAGTATTCAGTAGAGATATATTCCTCAACCAGTAGATGGCAGTGTTTATAAGTTTGTTGCTGAATCTATCACAAACTCAATGTCTTTTCTGTGAATAAAATGTTTCCAATTTCCTTGTTGCAGTGAAGCAGAAAAAACACATGTAGACTGTGCACTGTCTGTTCTGTGGGACTATATACAGAATCTCTAACACTTAAAGTGTTACTAAACCTCAGAACATGCATTCACTATATCTGGTCTCCCACAGTACACAGAACATGGAAATGTAAGTGTCTAGCAGAGGACAAGTTAAAGCTTGTAGGAGGAGTTTCCATTCTCCTCTGATTGTGCAGCTGCACCCAGTTTACGACTGTAGCCTGTTCCCAATGAAACATCCCCCACTATTCATATGAGCCTTATCAGCTTCTAATTGGGGTGGAGTTGAATGCTCATTGCATCTCCCTATAAATTTAGATCAGCTCATGGGGGAGATCACTGATGGGGGGGCACAGTCTCTGATGGGGGGTGCTGCTTCTAATTGAGTGCTGCGCTGAAAGCAGTTAAACACAGCAGTCGAACTAAAGCAGGAGAACTTAACCCCTTGACGCCGACGTAACACAAATATGCGGCCTCACGGACCTGGGCTTTTTTTCCGTGGGGCCGCATATTTGCGTACCTGTCTTTGTGTTGGGAGCGCGCCCCTCAGCGCGCTCCCAGCACCGAGACCGCGGTGTCACTGAGAGCACCGGGTCCCGTTCTAACGATCGGGACCTGGGACTCCCGGTTCCGGGTCACATGATCGCTGTGATAGCCTCTGATTGGCTATCACAGTGATCAGTCACTGTGCAGCCCGGCCCCCTTGTTTTTTTTCTCTCTCTCTCTCTATGAATGGAGAAGAGAGATACATTGTATCTCTCGAACTCCTGTCAGAGAGAAGGAAAAAAAAAAGTTTGTAAAAAAAAAAAAAAAAAAAAGATAAATAAATAAATATTAAAAAAATAAAATAAAAAATAAAAAAAAAATACCTAGATCAAGGTTTGATCTAGTTCAGTGCCAGGGTTAGTGTTTAGGTCAGGGTCAAGGTCAAAGGTCAGGGTCAAGGTCAAAGGTCAGGGTCAAAAGTCAAGGTCAGGATTTAAAAAAAATTGGTATCAGTGTCAGTTAATGTTAATGTCAGTGTCAGTTAGTGTCAGTGTGTTTTAGGTAAAAAAAAAAAAAAAAGACAAAAACAAAATGCGCACTATGGTTTCTGGGCTGTACTAAGGGTACAAACAACAAATAACATACACATATATGGTATCGCTGCGATCGTCAAGAGCTGGAGAATTTATTTTGGGTTTCTCTTTGGTGGTAGGTTATGGTCATAACAAGAAACACATAGCTAAATTAAAATAAAAGGATTTTTTTTACTATTTTTTGGCCAGTTTTCCTTTGATAATAAAAAAAAATCAGGAGATATCCATTACCATTTACCACCAAATGAAAGCCCAATTTGTCCTGAAAAAATCAAGGTATAATCCACCTGGATGTGCAAAGTAGTTGTGATGATATGTACGGTTTTTGCTATCACATGTCAACGGTGCAGAATTGTGCTTAGGCATTTAGATTTGTTTTACCTTAGGCGTGAAGGGGTTAAGCAGCAGGAAGACACAACAACAACAGCAAGAAACTCTACTGCACGCTGGACAGACTGCAAGCAAACACCCTGGGAAACATCTCTTACACACCTGAGTCCCACTCCGTGTACCTTTATATAATACGCCCCCTCTTCTCTTCATATTACTATCCTCTGTTCCCAAATCTCATTTCTTTACCCCTCTGCTCCACCCCAAAACTTGTACATCTCCCTACTATTGCTCTGATCAACTCCCCAAAATGCCTCTTCCACTCCTCCTCATTTTCCTCTCCTCCGTTCCCAAAATCCATTCACTATATCCCTCTGCTTCTCCCAAACATTTGTATATTGTGTCCTCACTGCTTCCTTCGCCCCTCTACGGCACCCACCTCCTCCTCCTATTACTCCACTCTCCCACTGACCCGAACACCTCCAGTAGTAGTTTCTCACGCTCCTGCACATCCCGCTCCCATGCCACCTTTCTCACCCTTCTCCTCCTCCTAACCACGGGGGACATCTCCCCGAATCCTGGCCCTCCACCACCTCCCTCACCCGCACAACACCCTCCCACCTCCACGTCCTGCCGCAACCCCTGCAACTTAGTATCTGTCCCCCTGCTCCCTAAAAACCCCCCCCCCCCCCCGTTTTCATGTGCACTCCTGAACACCCGATTGGTGTGCAACAAGCTTACCGCCATCCACGAACCTCTTTGTTTCCCGCTCCCTCAACCTCCTAGCGATCACAGAAACCTGGATCCAGCCCACTGACTCTACCTCCCCTGCTGCACTCTCCTACGGAAGTCTCACCTGGACCCACTCACCCAGGCCTAACGGTTGTAAAGGTGGTGGGGTTGGTCTGCTACTGTCACCGCAGAGCACCTTCCGAGTCCTCCCAAACCCCCCCTCCCTATCCTTCTCCTCCTTCGAGGCCCACTGCATCCGACTATTCTCCCCAACCCCCCTGAAGATTGCTGTGATATACCGGCCTCCTGGATCCATACCCCGCTTTCTGGATGACTTTTCCTCCTGGCTACCCTTCTTCCTCTCCTCTGAGCTACCCACCATCATCCTTGGGATTTCAACATCCCTGTCAACCTCGACAACCCGGCCACATCCCATCTCCTCCACTTAACCTCCTCCTTTGCACTTGCACAGTGCATACAATCCACCACCCACTCCAACGGTAATATCCTTGATCTTGTCTTCTCCAACCGCTGCGCTCCCCACAACCTCACTAACACCCCCTTCCCTCTCTCTGACCACAACCTGATCACCTTCTCTATCTCCTCCAACGCCTACCCCTCCAAATGTCACACTACTACCAGCCGTAACCTCCGCAACCTTAACCCTGCCCCCTCCACTCTGCAGCTGATCAACTCCACGACAGCATCCTCCCCCTGTCCTGCCCCGACTTGGCTATGACTGCCTACAACAACGCGCTGTCAACAGCCCTTGACTCACTAGCGCCTTTAACCACACGCAACATCAGACCCCCGACTGCTCCAGCCCTGGCAGACTGATCACACCAGAACCCTCAAATGACACAGTCGTGCCCTGGAGCGACTATGGCGCAAAACCAAATCCCAACAAGCCTTCACTTGCTACAAATCTGCCTTCCACACCTACACCTCCTCCCTCCATGCAGCCAAACAAGCCTACTTCCTGACCCTCATCAAGATCCTCTCCTCCAATCCTTGCCGACTCTTCTCCACATTCTACTCTCTACTCTCTCCACCCCCACCTCCACCCAGCACCTCACTCACCACCCTTGAGATTGCCAATCACTTCAAAAACAAGACTGACACAATTCGCAAGGACATCGCCGCAACTCACACACACCCTCTCAACCCATACCCTCGCACACAGCTATCTCTTCATCCCCCCTCCCCCTCAAACATAACCCGCAGGGACTTTATCACTGCTCAAACTCCCTCCAACCCGTTCCCCCTCACTCAGCTACCCCCTCATCACCCCTCTCCCACGGCCCCACCACTGCTCTGACCTCCACTTCCACCCCACCCTACATTCCTCATACTGAAGCTCCCCCAACACTCCACACCTTTGACCTTACTACCATCGAGGAAGTCTCCAAGATCCTCTCTGATGCCCGCCTCACCACCTGCCCCCTCGACCCTATCCCCTCACAACTCCTACGACCTCCCTCCCCCTCCATCCTACGCTCCCTCACCCACATCTTCAATCTCTCCCTCTCCTCAGGCATTTTGCCCTCCCCTCTGAAACATGCATACATCACCCCCATACTTAAAAAAAACCCTCCCTGGACCCCAATGATCCGAACAACCTCAGACCCATATCCCTGCTCCCATTTACATCTAAACTCCTCGAGCGCCTCGTCTACACCCGCCTATGCTCTCACCTCAACGACAACCACCTCCACTCGATCCCCTACAGTCTGGCTTCCGTCCCCTACACTCCACCGAAACCGCCTTACTCAAACTCTCCAACGACCTGCTAACCGCCAAAGCTAATGGCCACTATTCAGTGCTCCTACTCCTTGACCTCTCTGTAGCCTTCGACACAGTCGACCACCCCCTCCTCCTCAAAAAACTACACTCCCTCAGCCTCAGAGATTCTGCTCTCTCCTGGCTCTCATCCTACCTGTCACAACGCTCTTTCAGCGTTACCTATAATGCTACCACCTCCCCCTCACTCCCCCTCTCTGTTGGGGTCCCTCAAGGCTCTGTCCTTGGGCCCCTTTCTCTTCTCCATCTACACCTACTCCCTTGGCCAACTCATACACTCTCACGGCTTCAACTACACCTCTATGCCGACGACACACAAATCTATCTCTCAACCCCCCACCTCACCCCCTCGGTCTCTGCCCGAATCACACACCTACTGAGCGACATATCAGACTGGATGTCGCTCCACTTCCTTAAACTGAACCTCTCCAAAACCGAGTTTCTTGTCTTCCCCCCCAGCCCGGACCCCACCCCCCATTGACTTCTCCGTCACATCCAACAACGCCATCATCAAACCCGCTCCGCAGGCCAGAGTACTTGGTGTCATTCTGGACTCCAACCTATCCTTCCAGCCCCAAGTCCAATCTTTAACTAACTCATGCAGACTCCACCTACGCAACATCGCCAAAATACGCACGTTCCTAACCCCAGAAAACACTAAACAGCTCATCCACTCCCTCATCATATCACGACTCGACTACTGCAACTCCCTCCTCACTGGCCTGCCTCGCCGCTGGCTATCCTGCTTCAGTTGATCCTGAATACGGCTGCCAGACTCATTCACCTTTCCAACCGCTCCGTTTCCGCCACCCCCCTCTGCCAATCCCTCCACTGGCTTCCGATTGCGCAACGGATCAAATTCAAAATCCTAACACTGACGTACAAAGCTGTCCACCATACTGCCCCAAACTACATCACTGACCTAATATCCAAGTATCGCCCAGCACGCACACTCTGCTCCTTCACAAGACCACCTCCTCTCTAGTTCCCTGGTCTCCTCCTCCCATGCCTGCCTCCAGGACTTCTCCAGAGTGTCACCTATCCTCTGGAACTCCCTGCCCCAACCCATCAGATTATCACCTACTCTCCTCCTCCTTTAGGCACACCCTGAAAACCCATCTCTTCAGGGAAGCCTACCCCACCCCCTGCTAACTTTCCGACCTCCTTCACTCTTCCTACCACTCCATCCCCCACAGCTATCTCCTCCTGTACCACTATCCCCTCCCTCCTAGATTGTAAGCTCGAAAGAGCAGGGCCCTCAATCCCCTCATGTTTTGCATTGTATTGGTATTGTTCTGTCACATGTTCTGTGTCCCCTTTTGTAATGTACAGCGCTGAGCAAACTATTGGCGCTTTATAAATACTGTATAATAATAATAATAATAATGAGGCTGCCCAACCCCTGACCCTCTGCCTGGACAGCGCTGATTGGCCCTGTGCTAACCACATGCACTCTCCCAAGTAAAAAAAAAACACTCTAGCAATACAGACCAAATTAAGCATATGCAGGTTCTGTTCTAAAAATAGATGGATTGGGGACAGTAGAAGGGGAGGATCAGAGAAGACAGGATCAAACATCCTTTTTACACAATGTGGAGGATTAACCCCTTAAGTTCCACAGTAAGTATAACAAGCATGCTTTACTACATATACAGACTGATTTACTGTTGTGGGTTTAGTAAAACTTTAACCTCTTGCAGTTCCTGTAAAGCAGGACTTGGAGTGGGAGAGGAAAAAGCAATACAAGGAGCGAGTCAGTTCATTTCCTGAAAAAACATACTGATAGGAGGAGAAAAACAAAATGACAAAGATATGAATTTATCACTTTGCTACATCTCCCTAACTGTCCAGCTACAGGCTGGGTCAGTTCTATGATAACCAGAGCTAAGTGGAAGTAATCTGAATGATACTGGAAACTGTTCAACATGGAAGACAGAATGCATTTTGTAGTGTGAACTGCTTTGACAAAATACGCCTGAAATAAAAATCATACAGCCTTTTGTTTCTAACAAAGTCATGTGATCATAATGTCAGCACAGATATTTTTAATTATACAGTTGTGGCCAAAATTATTCAACCCCCACTGAAATTGAGTGTTTTGGCCAGTTTGACATTGCTTTTGATCATTCAGTTCATCTTGCTTACATTTACATTAAAGAGGCACTTGTAGGTCAGACAAATATAACATAACAGTTATAATGAAATAACCACAAATGTCTTTTCTGTGCTCACAGCATTATCATTTTATTCAACCCCCAAGTGACATTCAATCTTAGTACTTAGTACAGCATCCTTTTACAGTTATAACAGCTTTTAAACGTGAAGCATAGCTTGACACAAGTGTCTTGCAGCGATCTACGGGTATCTTCGCCCATTCTTCATGGGCAAAGGCCTCCAGTTCAGTCACATTCTTAGGCTTGCGCACTGCAACTGCTTTCTTTAAGTCCCACCAGAGGTTCTCAATCGGATTTAAGTCTGGTGACTGCGATGGCCACTCCAAAATGTTCCAGCCTTTCCTCTGCAACCATGCTCTAGTGGACTTGGAGGTATGCTTGGGATCATTGTCCTGTTGAAAGGTCCAACGTCTCCCAAGCCTCAGGTGTGTGACGGACTGCATCACGTTTCCATCCAATATCTCCTGGTACTGAAGAGAATTCATGGTACCTTGCACACGCTGAAGCTTCCCTGTACCTGCAGAAGCAAAACAGCCCCAAAGCATGATTGACCCTCCACCATGCTTCACAGTAGGCAAGGTGTTCTTTTCATCATAGGCCTTGTTCTTCCTCCTCCAAACATAGCGTTGATCCATGGGCCCAAACAGTTCTAATTTTGTTTCATCAGTCCACAGAACACTATCCCACAACTTTTGTGGTTTGTCCACATGGCTTTTGGCATACTGCAGTCGACTCTTCTTATTCTTTGGAGACAGCAAGGGGGTACGCCTGGGAGTTCTGGCACGGAGGCCTTCATTACGCAGTGTGCGTCTTATTGTCTGGGCTGAAACTTCTGTACCCACATCTGACAAATCTTTTCTCAGTTCCTCAGCAGTCACACGGGGACTTCTCTCCACTCTACGCTTCAGGTAGCGCACAGCAGTCGAAGTCAGCATCTTCTTTCTGCCACGACCAGGTAGCGTTTCAACAGTGCCCTTTGCCTTGAATTTGCGAATGATGCTTCCTAAGGTGTCTCTTGGTATGTTTAACATCTTTGCAATCTTCTTATAGCCATTGCCCTTCCTGTGAAGAGAAATCACCTCTTCTCTTGTCTTCCTGGACCATTCTCTTGCCTTCACCATGTTTGTAACCACACCAGTAAATGTCTAGAAGGAGCTGAGTATCACAGTCATTTTAAAGCTGCCTAATTGGTGCTTATTATGCTTGATTGCTGCTCGGTGACATCCACAGGTGTTTTCAATACCTGATGGAAAGCACCTGTATGAACCTCTGTTCTTCAGAGTGGTAGTCTTTAAGGGGTTGAATAATTGTGGCAATGAAGAAACCACATAAGAACCATTTACTACTGTATTACATAAACAATTGATGTCATTTTAGTTGCATTTGGGTAGTTACAACGCCTTGTAGGATTTGATTCTGAATACAATTCCAAGAAAGCAATCCATATTGCTCACATGGCTTTCTTTGCAAAGTCAAGTGATTGCCATCAACAAAGCCATTATTACCACAACTTTGTAACGTATGCTTTAACAATGAAACTTGACAACTTTCTCAACAAAACCACTAATTAACATGTCGGTGCTGACATTTTGATCACAAGACTTTGTTCGAAAACCAAGCAATGTGATTTTTATACCATAATATTTTGTTAAAGCAGTTTGCATGGAGACATGGGGGGAAAACTGACTAAAATTGGAGCGTGCAAAATCTGGTGAAGCTCTCCATAGAAACCAATCAGCTTCCAGGTTTTATTGTCAAAGCTTAATTGAACAACCTGAAGTTAGAAGCTTATTCGCTTCCATGCAGAGCTGCACCATATATTGAGTGCTCCAGTTTTAGTAAGTCTCCCCCACGGTTTGATAAAATTTTGGTGAAGGAAATATTGGTAAGGGAAAAGTAGAATGATTTCACTGAAATTGTTACATATCAATTTCAGTGAAATTATTCTACTTTTCCCTGGTTTCAATATACATTCAAACACATTGTTTGATTATGCTGGCAATTTTTGAGGGACTCTGGACACAGACCTGACCCAACTCTTGTTGTAATCCTTTGTTTCAGGATTTTGCAACATACTTAACTAAACTACATTGTCAAAAGTATTAGGACACCCCTACAAATCATTGGATTCAGGTGTTTCAATCACCTCCATGGACACAAGTGTATAAAAATCAAGCACCTAGGCATGCAGACTGCATTTACAAACACTTGTGAAAGAATGGGTCGCTCTCAGGACCTCAGTGAATTCAAGCATGGTACCGTGATAGTTTGCCACCTGTGCAATAAGTTCATCCATGAAATTTCCTTGCTACTAAATACTCCAAAGTCAACTGTTAGTGGTATTATAACAAAGTGGAAGCAACTGGGAACAACGGCCACGTAAGTGGTAGGTCACGTAAAATGATAGAGCGGGGTCAGCGCATGCTGAAGCACACAGAAGTTGCCAACTGTCTGCAGAGTCAATAGCTACAAACCTCCAAATTTCGTGTGGCCTTCAGCAGTGCATAGAGGGCTTCATGGAATGGGTTTCCATGGCCGAGCAGCTGCATCCAAACCTTACATAACCAAGTGTTGGATGTATTGGTGTAAAGTATACCGCCACTGGACTCTAAAGCAGTGAAGATGTGTTCTCTGGAGTGACGAATAACGCTTCTCTGGCAATCAGGTTAATGTGTCTGGGTTTGGCGGTTGCCAGGAGAATCATACCTGCCTGACTGCATTGTGCCAAGTGTAAAGTTTACTGGAGGGGGAATTATGGTGTGGAGTTGTTCAAGGGTTGGGCTTGACCCCTTAGTTCCAGTGAAGGAAACTCTTAAGGCATCAGTATACCAAGATATTTTGGACAATTTCAGGCTCCCAACTTTGTGGGAACAGTTTGGGGATGGCCCCTTCCTGTTCCAACATGTGCACAAAGAAAGGTCGATAAAGACATGGATGAGCGAGTTTGTGGTGGAGGAACTTGACTGGCCTGCCAGATTCCTGACTTCAACATGATAGAATACCTTTGGGATGAATTAGAGCAAAGACTGCGAGCCAGGCCTTTTCGTCTAACATCAGTGCCTGACCTCACAAATGTGCTTCTGGAAAAATGGTCAAACATTCCCTTAGACACTCTCCTAAACCTTGTGGACAGCCTTTCCAGAAGAGTTGAAGTTATTATAGCTGCAAAGGGTGGGCCAGCTCAATATTGAACCCTTTGGACTAAGGCTGAAATGTCATTAAAGTTCATGTGTGTGTAAAGGCATGCATCCCAATACTTTTGGCAATATAGTGTAATTATCAGCATTTTAGTCTGCTTCCTTCACTACTGATGAGAGCTGTCATTATGATCCTTCCAAAAAATCCTAAATCTAGATGCCATATGCCATGAATAGCCCTAACCCTTACACTAACCCACCTCTACTATTGGGTACTCATCTATGCCCTGATGAAAAAAAAACAAAAAAAAAAAAACCACAGGCTAGACAGATAAATGTAACTTTAAACCAAGTCTAAACTGTATTGTTTGAGACCAAGAACACACAAAACCCTACCTAGGACTTCCTTAATCAATGATTAAACCCATTTTCGGCAAAATGCACCAGAGGGAGGGGTCCCATGCGGGGCTGTGTGTTCTATGTCCAGAATAATTAAGCTTTTACTACATTAGACTTAGTGTTAAAAGGATAAGTTCACCTTTTAACCAAAAGTAATAAATACACATTTTTGTGCAGGTAAAAAAATGTACATTTGTTATTTTTTTGTTTCTGGAGCCTATAAAACATTCCACCAGCAATCAGCTGGTCTCTTGCAGACTGCCAGTATGTGCAGAAGACCTGCATGGCACCAGTGATCTGCTGATCATTGATGCAATGCTTTAGTGGCTCCAGAAACAAAAAATAAATGCACACACCTGCAAAAAAAAACATCCCTTACGGGCAGGCACGTACTTACGAACAGGAAGACTGAATTTACTACCACAGCGCACCACAGTGCCATGGTAATTAATTGAGAACTACAAGCCAACAGCCGCAAAGGTTTTTGGAACTTGTAGTGTCCTCATTCACAGAATACTGTGAATGTTTGATGCGGCCGAGCGGGCGGAGACCCGCACAGCCACAAGTTATGACAGCTAGCATGGGGAAAAGATCCCCCGCTAGCTATCACAATGGGGATTAAAGAGAGGGGGGGTGCGGGGGCCAGTCCATTTGTAACATGTTACACCCTGAATATGGATGTAACATGTTACGAAAGGTGAACTTAACCATTAGGCCACTTTTTCTTTTTGGATTGTACAATATTTTCAGAGTCTGATCTTTAAAAAGCACACAGATAAGAGTAAGATCAAGCTTATCTACATATGTATGCTGGATTAGTGACACAAAACACTTGAAAGCCATTGGATCAGCATGACTTCCAGGAAACTAGCATTATAAGTTAGTTATTTATGGAACTGTCCATACTTCTCTTTACAGATTTCTTTTAAAACCTGGCTAATCATTCACCTGTTTAATATGGCATTTGAA